ATAGAGGGAGAAGAAAGCATGGAGATAAACCTTGTGTGTCAGCCTCTGTAACTGAAGCTAAGATGGCTTTATGGTGGCCTTTGCTCTCCTAAGTAGGTGCGGTGTGGGGAAAACCATTGTGAGACATGAACCCTGGTGAATGTGGTTCTTCCTCGGGGGATAACCCGTGGCATGCTGGTCAGTCAGGTTGTGGAGATCCTTGCTTCCGTACTAGCTCAGGGTGAACAAGCTTTTCCAATGGAAATGTTCAACCATTTTCCTCCATTATTTTCTTCCCCTGGGCAAATTTACCTTCACGCAATAATTACCTCATTCAGATTCCCCCAAAATGTCATTGGGTTCTAGAGCTGCTGCAGCTGACTTGGTGTTTCCTCATGTCAACATGAAGGAATTGTTGAATTCCTTCATCTGGGCAAACAGACCTGTGCCAATATTTACCTTTCATTATACAGCATGGGCAGAACAGGGGAGAAGGGGGAAAAAATAGGTGGGTTTAAGGAAAAGAAAACTATGGGTTTGTGAAAAAAAAGCAATTTTGAAGGAAAGAAAAGAGAAAATGAGATCCATCAATTATGTTATTAAATATGAAATTTTGTGTTTTCACATGCATTCCTCTTTTGGTTTTTATTCTCTCATCATTGTCTCACTAGACTTTCATGGTACATCGCCCACATGCTGTAGGAAAAAGACTGCAGATTTGGAATTCAAAAACAAGACTTTGCTGTTTATAAGAATTGCATTTCTGGAAAGGAGGGGGACTGTCCACACCAGCCAGCAACCTCATACATTAAAAGGCTAGGATTTCTTTCACACCCGAGTGAAATCCAAGACCCCTTCCAAGATTTGCCTTGTCACCCACCAGGGAAGAGGAGCCCCATGACCCACAGGTAAGGAGGGTGGAACATGAAGATGCCTCCGGGGATGCAGGGGGAGAAAGGGAGAGGGGGAGAAGGGGGAGGAGGGGAGGAGGAGGGGGAGGGCAGTGGCAGAGGCCTTGCTTCAGCCAAACTTCAAAAAGTCTAGTTGGTCAGGGTACTCTATTTGACACATACTGTATTTAATACATATTTGAAAGAGGCCACCATATTTGTTCTGAAAAATATTTAGGATAGTAACAGGTTACTATATTTGTGTAAGGGAATAAAATGAGGGTCATCTATAAAGGAATCATAGTGTTTAGCCAGGGGAATACAAGATTATAACATTCAGGATCTATTTGCCAGTGCCCTTTTTTTTTTTTTTTAAACTTGTTTGTTTGTTTGAGATGGAGTCTCACTCTGTCGCCCAGGCTGGAGTGCAGTGGCGGGATCTCGGCTCACTGTAAGCTCCGCCTCCGGGGTTCACGCCATTCTCCTGCCTCAGCCTCCCGAGTAGCTGGGACTACAGGCGCCCGCCACCACGCCTGGCTAAGTTTTTGTATTTTTAGTAGAGATGGAGTTTCACCGTGTTAGCCAGGATGGTCTCAATCTCCTGACCTCGTGATCTGCCTACCTTGGCCTCCCAAAGTGCTGGGATTACAGGCATGAGCCACCATGCCCGGCCTTTTTTTTAACTTTTAGAATAGGTGGCACAAGATCTGAAGTTACAGAGGGGCTGATTTCCTGCACACATGATCCAGGTGCCATGGAAACGCTGAAGATGACTTAAGTGCCGTCTCTGTCCTCCAGGTGTTCTCAGTGTGGTGGGGAGAGAGATGAGCAAATTGATAAATTATACGGTGGGTGGAAGGTGTGATTGTAGTGAGATAAATCACCTGTGAGGAGAATGTGTGGCAGGGAATAATTTAGCTTTGGCCAAGGGTATCAGGGAGTTTGCATACAGGAGACGCCATCTGAGCTGTGTTTTTATGGATGAGTAGGTGTGTTTCTGGCATAAGGAGAAGGACTGATGAAGGGGAAGGGGCACTCCAGCAGAAGCCATGGCACATGGGAGGGCAGAGCACCATGACCCACTGGGGCTGGCATATTGGGGCACCCATGAGAAGTTTGGTGGTGCTGGGGTACAGGGCTTGGGGAAGAGCAGTGGGAGGTGATGCTGGAGGCATGTGGGAGAAGTTTGGAGGCTAAGATGGGGGTGTTTTGATTTATTTCTGCAGTCATACTAGTTAAACTGAAAGTCTATGTGGCTGTCCACCCACCTCCCCGTTTAGTCTAAGAGGGGAGTAAGTAACTTCTCCTAAGTTACTTGCTTAAGAAACTATGGGATTTACTGTCCCAAGCTGTAGCCTTCTGTGTTGGTTTGTTAGAATTGCCAAAACAAAGCACCACAGACTTGGTGGCTTCCTTTTTGTCTCACAGTTCTGGAAACCAGAAGTCTGAGGTTGAGGTGTCAGCAGGCTGGCTTCCATCAGAAGGCTGTGAGGGAGAATCTCTTCTAGGCCTCTCTCTCCCCGGCTTCTGGTGGGTTTCTTGGAAGCTCTGGCATGCTTTGGCTTGTGGAAGCGTCAACCCAATCTCTGTCTTCTTTTATTATCTTTTTAGGGGATCTCACTTTGTCACCTAGGCTGGAGTACAGTGGCATGATCATGCTCAGTGAAGCCTTGAACTCCAGAGCTCAAGCCACCCTCCTGCCTCAGCCTTCTGAGTAGCTGTAACCAATGGCACATGCCATTGTGCCCGGCTAATTCTTAAAATTTTCTTGTGGAGACGGGGTCTCACTTTGTTGCCCAAGCTGATCTCAAACTCCTTGCTTTAAGCAATCCTTCCACTTCGGCCTCCCGAAGTGCTTGGATTACAGGCGTGAGCTACTGCATCTGGTCACCCATCTCTGCCTTCATTTTCATGTCATGTTCTCCTGTGTCTGTTTCCAAATTTCCCTTTTTATAAGGACACCCGTCACACTGGATTAGGGCCCACTCTACTCAAATATTGTCCTCATCCTGATATAACTGTAATGATCCTATTTCCAAATAATGTAACATTCTGAGGTACTGGGGATTAGGGTTTCAGCACATGAACTTTTGGGAGACATAATTCAACACCTTGTCAGCCTAAAGGTTACCGTGGGAGAAGAGAGAATAAGGAAGATGGAGAGAATGAAGTTGAATGTGGTGTTTGAACATCCATCCCGCTGGCTATATAGGGAGGTTTTAAGGACATTCTATAAAAATCTTTGTGCTCCATTTAAGCTTCTTCTCCAGCCAGGCCCTGGGCTCCATGTTTCTCTGAAAGTTCATTCAAAAATGGCTTTCACCTCTGCTGTTCAGGTGCAGTTTGAGAGGAACTAAGGATACCATAAAGTTGTTTCTAAATCTCTTACGAAAAAAGACAAAGTAGGTATTTCCTCAGTATTCCAGAGCTCTGAAAAGGTGGAATCTTTAGCTAGAAAATATGGTGTTATTTGCCCTCTTCTGTGTCATTGACTTTGTCCTGTGGGTGTGGACTTTCTACTAGAGTGGCGAAGACAGAAGCGAGATTATAAGTTAGACAAGCCAGCAAGGCGGGACATTGGAAACAGGTCAGATTTGGGAGCAAGAGTGTTCGTGTCTTTTGAAGCTTAGGTTATTTCCAGGAGGAAATGGAGAGAAATTCAAAAGTGGATCCTAAAGCATTTTGGTTCTTCAAGCACCCTAATTGTGTAAATCTCATTCTGAGATTGACACCAATTCCCAACCAGCAGACGGAGAATCATACAGGAGACCCTGAAGCTGCACTGAGGATGAGCACAGCCTCCCACCCTGGAGCTGAACTCAGCCCCTAACTCAATGACTGGATCTGTAAGATCCTAGAATCTGACCACAGAATCACAGCTCACATTCCCGGCCTCCCTTGCAGCCAGAATGCAGCCATGTGGGATTTCAATGCTTAATGTGAGCAATTTGAGGAAAGTAGGACCCATTATTGGTGACTGTTATGGCATCTGGATTTCAGATGTTGTAGGCGTGGTTTCCCAGAGGCTGCAGGGTCAAGTTCCTGACTTAGAGGTGGCTTGCCTGCTCAGAACACGGGGGCTGGGGTGGTAAGGTCAATTTCTTGGTATTTCATTGAACTCAGTGCTGGGTAGCAGCCATGGAGGCTGTTTTCATATCAGGCCAGAACTGCAGCTTATATTTTGAGTGTTGCTTCTGGATACTTAAGAAAATGTGGCATATATACACCATGGAATACTATGTAGCCATAAAAAAGAATGAGTTCGTATCCTTTGCAGGGACATGGATGAAGCTGGAAACCATCATCCTCAGCAAATTAACACAGGAACAGAAAACCAAACACCACATGTTCTCACTCATAAGTGGGAGTTGAAAATGAGAACAAATGGACACAGGGGAACATTACACACTGGGGCCTGTTGGCGGGTGGGAGGCAAGGGGAGGGAGAGCATTAGGACAAATACTTAATGCATGTGGGGATTAAAACCTAGATGATGGGTTGATAGGTGTAGCAAACCGCCATGGCACATGTATACCTATATAACAAACCTGTACGTTCAGCACATGTATCCCAGAACTTTAAAAAGAAAAAAAACATGATTGACAGAGTGTGTTTAAAATGATTTGTGCTAAAAATACAGACCAAAAAAAGGAAGGAAGGAAGAAGGAAGGAAGGGAAGAAGGAAGAAAGGAAGGAAGAAGGAAGCAAGAAGGAAGGAAGGAAGCAAAAGGAAGGAAGGAAGAAGGAAGGAAGGAATAGAAAGGCTGACCAATAAATTGGAATCTGAAGGCTCTGGTTTTAGTTCAGGGCAGTGACTTTGGGTGAGTTACTGCCCATTCTCGATCTCTAGAGAATTCATAGTATTAGTGGGGATTTAAGGCCTCTCGGGTTTAAATGTCCTTTGAAACAATGTAATAGTTCAATGTCTATATGACATTTACTTTGAGTTTTTATTTTTTGCCATCAAAAAGGTGGAATAAGATTTAGATGGGACCATAGTCACTGACTTAGAGCAATCTAATAAAAATACAATGTGTTCTTTTTCTTGCTCCTGGATATTGGAGGCGGCCGCCTGCCGCTTCCCCTGTGGCAGACATGTGGCTAGGGGTGCAAGTTGGAAGAGTGAGTGGGACTGCCGCAGGCTTTGCCCAGGCTCCCCTGCACCTGCGGGAAGGCTTCTCCTTGGCCGGTAAGTTTTGCACCATGAAGCAGCACATTCCTATCTTTCACTGTGTGATGTAAAAGTCTATGAGATGAAAATATAAAGGGGCCATTTATCAAAGCCTCAGTGTTGTTAAATCAGTGAACTGTGCACCAGCACATTTGTTCCTATGAAGCACTGAGATGGCAGTATCCAGTGATTGTCACTGCATTTGCCCAGGGGACCCAGCCCTAATAAGGTGGAAATACAACTTAACAAGTTTCCTTAAAAAAGACCACACGGACTGGCCCTGCTTACTGATGTGGAGTGTGCGTCAAGATTGTTCACTCTCTGTTCAGTTCCTCTCTTTCTGGGTCAAGAAGCTGTTGCCCACAAAGGTGGATTCAATACCCTTATTTCAAGGTGGGAAATGGCCTAGAAGTCGGAGCCTTGTTTACCCCAAGAAACTGTTCACCATTTCCAAATTATTCTCTCAACTAGAAAGGAGGGCAGTGGTACAAGTGAAATGGGAAAAATTCCACTGCGTGCCTTGCAGGGTGTGCAGTGGGGGTGTGGCTCAGTTTTTCAGTGCTCTGCTGCTCAAATCTCTGGGGGAGCATCCAGACAGGCAGGCTGTGGGCTCCGACCCCACAGCAGTGTCTGGGGGTGAATGTTTACAGCTCAAGCCCTGGTAGGCGTGTGTTACAGGGGGCTCCTTTAGTTTAGCTGTCCGTAGGCGGCTTATGTTAGCCCAATTAGACCTGTGCCTTATTGCAGGACAGAGGGTTTTCTGTATCCCGGGGTTCTTGCCTTGGTGTACTGTAAGAATTGGATCACACACGGGCTTGGAGAATGAGTGCAAGGTTTTATCGAATGGAGTAGCTGTCAGCAGATGGGGGAGCCACAAGAGAGATGGTTTTCCCCTAGAGTCAGGCTGCTTGGTGGCCGAATCTTCTCCAACCACCCAGGCCAAACTCCACATTGTTCCGCTGGTCAATGGCCTTCTGGCACCTATGGGTGCTTCCCTCTTGACGTCCAGCCACCCATGTGTTCCTCCTCTGATGTGCTCCTCTTGATGTCCAGCCGCGTGTGTGTCTGCCAGCTAGGAGGGTCTCAGGGCTTTTATAGGCACAGGATGTGGGTGTGGCAGGCCAGGGTGGTCTTGGGAAGTGCAACATTTGGGCAGGAAAACAAAAATGCCTGTCCTCACCTAGATACCTAGGTCCAGGGGTGGAGCCCTAGCCAGGGACCACACCCTTCTCTACCCAGAACTTCCGTTCCCCACTTCTGTATCACAGGTGCTGGGGTTTCAGTTGTGATGGCTAATTGGGTGTCAACTTGGCTAACATTACCCAGTTTCTTTTTGTTAAACACTGGTCTAGATATGATTGTGGAGGTATTTTTTAGATGTGATAAACATTGGAATCAGTAGACTTTGAATAAAGCAGATTACCCTCCATAATGTGGGTGGGCCACATCCAATCAGTTGAAGGTCAAAGGAACCAAGGCTGAGGTGTCCCTAAGGATGAATTCTCAAGATGGCAACATGGAAGATCTTCCTGGGTTTTCAGTCTGCTGCTCTGTGGAATTCAGCTCAAGACTGCAACATTAGCTCTTACCTGACTTTCCAGCCTGCCAACCTGCCCTGTAGAATTTGGACCTGCTGGCCAGTGTGGTGGCTCACATCTGTGAGGTGTGAGCACTTGGGAGGCTGAGGCAGGCAGCTCACATGAGGTCAGAAGTTTGAGACCAGCCTGGCCAACATGGTGAAACCCCATCTCTTCTAAAACTACAAAAGTTAGTGGGGGGCGGTGGCGGGCATAATTCTGGCCACTCAGGAGGCTGAGGCATGAGAATCTTTTGAACACAGGAGGCAGAGGTTGCAGTGAGCCGAGATCATGCCACTGCATTGAAGCCTGGGCGACAGAGTGAGACTCCCTCTCAAAGCAAAAAACAAACAAGCAAACAAAAAAACCCAATTTGGACCTGAATGCCCCACAATTGTGTGAGTCAGTTCTTTAAAATGAATCTCTGACTCTGTCTTCATCTCTCTCTCTCTCTATATCTATATCTATATATAGACATATATATATATATAGACATATATAGATATAGATATACTGGTTCTGTTTCTCTGGAGAATCCTGACTGATACAACAGCCCTGGTTTCCCGTGACTCCACCACTACCAATGGATGTTGTTTTTTTTTTCTTTTCTTTTCCTTTTTTCTTTTTCTTTTTTTTTTTTTTTTGAGACAAAGTCTCACCCTGTCTCCAGGCTGGAGTGCAATGACGCGATCTCGGCTTACCCAATCTCTGCCTCCCTGGTTCAAGCAATTCTCCTGCTTCAGCCTCTCAAGTAGCTAGGACTACAGGCACCCACCACCACGCCCAGCTAATTTTTGTATTTTTAGTTGAAACAGGGTTTCACTATGTTGGGCGGGAGGGTCTCGATCTCCTGACCTGGTGATCTGCCTGCCTCAGCCTCCCAAAGAGCTGGGATTACAGATGTGAACCTCTGCCTGGCCCGGATGTTGTTTTCTCCATATCATCAGTTTCTCCTTCTTTAAAATAACACCCCTATTAAGTCTATCAAGAGTTTGAAAATGTGCTCCCACCATTTCCTGGGTCAGAATCTCTTTGTGGGCTGCACCTCTCAATCAAATTTGCAGCCTGTCAATCATACAGATGCTGGGCTGCTTCTCCTGAGATTCCGGGTCAGTAGACTCAGGTCAGGCACTGAGTATTCATAGTCTTTCAAATGTGTCCCAGGTAAGTCTGCTGTTGAGTGCCACCAAACTTCATAATAATATCTAACTTCCTTAACATCCAAACACTACCCCAATCTGGCATTGCCTAATACTTCACCACGTCACACCCTAGACCAGATGCAGTGAACCTTCACACACTTATCTGCCTTTGTGCTTTTGAACATACTCTTTCACCTGCCTGAAATCCACCCCTACCACACATCCCCTGTTACCTGGCAAATTCCTATGAATCCTTCAAGGTCCAGTAGAAGGATGATGCTTTTCCAGGCCTCCAGGGCCCAAGCACATATGTTTAATAACTCTGTTATGATGTTGAGCACATCAAATTACCATCTAACTACACTTCTCTGTTGACTGCAAACTCTTCAAAGCTGGGCATCACATCTTTGTGTCCTCATTGCCCAGGATGATGCCTGACATATAAAGCTCAATAAATTTTTGCTGAGTTTAAATCACAAAGCAAGTTCCTCCTGCACTGATTCCATGCTCACCAAACAACATTTGGATAATTTGACTTCCCCGGCGGCTCCTGCTGATGGAGTGAATGCGTGTTCGGTCAGACCGATGTGAGTGTCTGGGCCACATGACAGTGCATTTATTTCCAGCTGTAAATTAATAAATAGGAGTCCTGGTTTACATACAGTTTGTTGAATAAATGGCTTGCCTATGGTCATAGCTCAATTATCCAAATACAGATGATCCTCCCAGCCTATTATTTGCAGACTAGTTTTTATTTATTATATTGAACTTGCTCCTTTTTTTTCTTGTGGCTCTGCTCAGTCCCTCTTTTCCTCCCCTGTGTGGATAATTGAAAGCTGGCACCACGTGTGACCCCAATCAGAAAGGCCATCTTATAAAGCATTGGTGCTGAATCAATGTTACTGATGGTATTGGCTACATACATATCTAGGGCAGAATCCACCAGATGTTGGTGTGGCGAATATTCACTCCATTCCAAGGATTTTGCTGTAGTAAAATCTAGTTTGGGACTGTGCTGTGTCAGTTCTATCAGGAAAACAGGGACCCTTGCTTGTTGGTTGGAAGGTGAGTGATGGAGAAGGAATCCTGCTGGCTTGTAAGTAGGCACTGATCTTTCTTACTTTTAGGTTTGAGACAGGCCATCCCACATATGTTGCCCTCTTGGATAGTCTGAAGACAAAAAAGACAAACCTTTTTTTTCTCTATCCTATGGAAGAGATGCATAGGGCAAGACACGTGGGAAGGGATGACACTTCCATGTCCTCTCTGAGAGCATCACCTTCCAGGAACCTCTGCAGGTCCAGCAATCTGGAAGCTCTCTGCATACTGTCCTTTTGGGTTTTTATGGAGGCTTCCTTATGTAGGCGTTGTGAATGACATTGTTGGCCTTAGTGATCAACTCAACATTCAACGCCTCTCCCATCCTTGGAGATTGGGAGGTGGGCTGAAAGTTCCAACCCTTTAATCACATGGTTGGTTTCCCTGGCAACCAGCTCCCATCCTGGTGCTATCCAGGAGTCCACCAAGGGTCACCTCATTAGAACAAAAGATGCTCCTATCACCCTGGAAATTTCAAGGGATTTAGGAGCTCTCAAAATTACAAAACTCTTAGAAACTCTAGCAGGAGCAGGGGTCGAAGACCAAATATTAGAACAAAAGATTCACCTAGCACCCCTATCCACAAGGGTTTTGGACGCTGTATGTTAGGAACTAGGAGCCAATCTCTCCCTACCCCTCCCCCTCCCCCCTCTGCCGACTCCCTCTCCCCGACTCCTTTCCCCCTCTCCCTCCCCCTCCCCCTCTCTTCCTCTCCCTCTCTCTCTTCCTCTCTGTCTCCCTCCTCCCCCTCCCTCCCCCTCTCCCCCTCCTCCCCTTCCCTCCCCTCCTCCCTCCCTACCCCCTCCCCTCCCTCCCTCCCCTCCCTCTTCCCTCTCTCCCTCCCCCTCCCCCTCCTGTCTCTCCCCCTGTTCCCTCCTCCTTTCCCCCACTCCCTCCCCCTCCCCTCTACCACTTCTTTCTTCCCCTGTCCCTACTCCATCCTCCCTCCCCGTCTCCCTCTCTCTGTTTCCCTCTCCTGTCTCCTCTCCCTCTCTGTCCCTCCCCCTCTCTCCTCTCCCTCCCTCTCCCTCCCTCTCTCCCACTCTCTCTCCCTCTCTCCCTCCCTCTCTCCTTCTCTCTTTCTCTCTCTCTCCCTCTCTCTGTCTCCCCCCCTCTCTATCTCTCTCCCCTCTCTCCCTCTCCCTCCCCCTCTGTCCCTCTCTCCTCCCCCTCCCTCCGCCTCTCATCCCTCTCTCCCTCC